AAAGATCAGGCCAGGAACGCCTGATCTCGAGAAGTGGGCCAGGAAAATTGCTCGAAAGTGGCCCTTGAACGTTTGGAAGTTGTTGGTCGAAGGTGGAGCACGTTTTAGCAGGCGCGTTGTGCTTGACTAGACACTTCAGGAAGGGCAAGGAACATTTTTCAGAGGGTTGAAAAGAGTTCAGCAACGAAACGCTAAGTGAGTAGATTGGGGTCTAAGATACATATACTGGTAGTATTGATCGGCGCATTGGTCGCAGATGCACATTACCTGCTCCTTTCTTGAATATAAATAACAAACTATTTCACAGAGCGTGAGAAACGCGTTTCTAGCCTCTCCACCAATTTTAAAGCGATCGTGACAGCAATTTTTACCAAAAAATCGCGTACGATGAAGCTCCATTCAAAACTCATAAAAAAACCAAAACGTTTTCCTCTTTAACAAATCCCGCAGAACAATTCTCGTCCAATTTTCGCAACTGCCGAGTTAACTGGACGGAAACGGATGCCGCAAAATTTGGAAGCATATAAAAAACAGGACCCCGCGATGAACGAAAGTCAAATATTCGACAGCAGTTCGTCAATTTGCCCATTTCCATTAAATAGACGCAAAAATGGAGGGGTAGAGTCGGCTGGCCGTGAGAATGGAAAAGGCCGAATCCGGTTTCAATTTTCTCATGCCACTCATCGGGAAAAACTAGCGCACAAAATAGCACATTGCCCGGTGATCTACGAATTTTCATGAATATAAAATTGAGGTATCTTGCAAAGCCGATTTACTAGAGCAGAAAAAAGCGACTAATTCGTAAAAATAATTATAATTCTTAAGTCAATGCTATTTAGACAATGAAATATATCATAAAAAAAGCCTAATAAAACCGAAATTAGGAGAATTATTGAATAGTATTATTGCTTATTAAAAACATTTAAGGAGTCTAATTTTTGCAATTTTTTTTGGGTTGTTAGATCCCTAAAAACTTCCGATTACCATGTAGGCAACAAAACCATAAAGTACCCCACCCAAACCCCCTTTTTCGACCGAATAATCTACCAAATTCCCCGTATGGCTTCCCCAATAATCTAAACAAGGCAAAATATTTGGGGTCTGCTGATTGCCAAATCTCAGGCGAATAAAATTGAGATCCGGCGCCTAAAAAATTAAACCCAGCCGAGTTGTATTCCTGGGATCGGCTGATCACTGGGGGGATTTCGGCGGCTTCTTCTGGGCCATAATTAACCTTGGGAAATCGGTAAATATGACCTCGAGGAGTCAGACTGAACGCGCGAAGACTTTGAACGTTCTTGATTCCTACAGCCGACGGATTGGGCGACCGTAAATTGGCGCAGGCTGTAGCCGAAGAATGAGAAATAAAAGATTATGGCTGTTCGGAAGGTAAATTTACCAATTATTCTAAGGCAATATTTGGTGAAATCTTTCAAAACTGTCCAGGGTGGCCAAACGAACACGCAGAAACTGGCTTCTAGAACAAACTCAAATGCAAAGGTTGTTTTTCTATCGGTGAGTTTCTGAAAATATTGATATGGTGCTAAATATTGATTGATGTACTACTACCTTGCTTCCAATCAAAAAGCTAAACCATGGCTCTTTAAAGGGATCGGCAAGACCGCGACGTCAGGCGTTTGAATGCGTTAAGTGACCTCAATTCAGTGATCACTGCGTGTCGCCGGGAAGCCTAAGTCCATCAACAATAGATTTCCTTCCTATTATTTTTTTCGTGGATTTAAGGTACAAAGATCTCATTGGCTAATGTCATCATGACTATAACTAAAACACTCAGAATTACGGTAGCAAGAAAACTTGCCAACTTTTCTGGAAACTGCGCAAGGCAACAGAGAAAGCGGATGAGAATCTCGGTCCTATCCGCTGAATCTCTAAAAATCGCTTGCCCCTCTTCCGGCAGCTGGGCCCGGCCAACGTGTGCCGTCCACGTGTCTGGTGTTGAACTTTTCGACTAGAGAACAATGCGAAAATGGGGGCCCCAGAGAAAAAAGTTTCGCGGCCGTGCCCGGGCAATACTTGGGGAACCCCCCAGCTGAAACAATGCCACGTGGCGGCTGCAAAAAAACGATGGCTTGAAAGAGTGAGGCGGCTGCGGCTGGTTTTGAAGGGGTTGAAAAGTATGGAATGCACCTTTTACGCTTACGAATCATTACGCGTTAGGCACGTCAAAAATACTGCTTAAAACCATTTGCTGATCCTAATTCTATAAAATCCGCACTCCACTTTAGCCGCGGATCGACACAAAAAAATGAAGCCCTGAGTTGCGATGAGTGGCCTGGCAGCGAGGGAAAACAGAAAAATTTGACGGGGCAGTGGAGAGGACGAGTCGAGTACATAAGTACGAACCGGTGGATCAAAATCGTGAAAGTTCGTTATTTTCCTGAAAATGAAGCCGATCTTTGTCTCTCTCTCTCGAAGCCGCCTCCCAATCAGTAGATTTTTAACCTACGTCCTTTTTTCTCAGCAAGAAAAATATCGCAAAACATCAGGTAACAACCCTGATTTTCACGGGTCAATGCCATATTCAATTCAGCCCAAAAACTTCCTGCCAGAACGGCGCTCCGGCTACTTGCACCTGCCAATTGAATTCCAGCCTGAAAAAAGTTCATAGTCTGCGCCAATAAAGTAATAAGGTTTATTGGCGTGAAAGGAGCAAGCTGGCAATCAAAACAAATATCCACTGGAGAAAAATTTAGGCCCTTTCCAACATTTGCTCGGCGACCAGCTCCATCGCATCGGGGAACAGGGAGTGCTCTTTTTCCTAAAAAATATGATAATTGATTAGGTATCGATGGATTTACACATTAGCGATATGGTCTTTGATCGCTTGCCCGTAGAAGCTTGAACTTTTTGAGCTCCTGAATCTTATCTTATGCCTATCGGCCAACAAAGCGAAAACCACGGGGAAGGGCTTGAATCCGGCAAAACGAAGCATGTCTCTTTTGCCGCTAAGAGACCAAACAGAGCGTGGAAATGGTGAACAAGTTTTTTTACATAAAACAAAACCATCCTATTATGTTTATATTGTTAAGATGCTCACCGCAAAAATACAATAATTGAAATATTACCTTGATCCTCTCATGCAAAGTTTCTTCCGTATCACCCGCTTTCACAGTAACGACCGATTGTACAATGATCGCGCCGGCATCGATTTCCTCCTGAAATTATGGACTTTCTATTTAAGTAATAAAAATGAAGTGCGACTATAGAATCTAAGACAAAAATTTTTAATTATGGGAATTCTTACCACCACAAGGTGCGCCGTGCACCCAGCTACCTTCACACCGGCCGCAATCGTATCCCGAACGGCGTGACCACCTACAATGCAAAAATTGACAACTTGCTGTAGTTGCTCAACCTCGAAAAGCAGGCAGCAGCGATGGGTGGATGTTAATTCATCTTGTTTTCCCATTCCTTCACAAATTGGCCGGACAAAATTCGCATATAGCCGGCCAGGCAGATCAGCTCGACGCCGTGGAGTTTGAGGACCTGAAACAACGCAATTTGATATGCCGAAATTTGCAAGATTTGTAAAAATCTATAGATAATGATTCGTACCATAAGTTAACGAGACCCGGGTTGGATCTTCTTGAATGCGATACTTACCTCCGACATTTCCATATCCCCTTCTTCTCGAATTGTCGTATGCGGAACAACGGCCGTGGAGACCTGCATTTTCTGAGCAATTTCCAGCCCTCCAGCGTCTGGGTTGTTGGAGATGACAAGGACCACCTGAATGACCAATAATTTGCGGAATATATTTAATCTACCAACCTCACAGTTACTGCCCGGCCGCTGCGCCCTCTCGATCAACCTCTGCATATTCGACCCGGCCCCAGAAATCAGGATGCCGACGCGGATTCTACGGGTCTCGCGGACGTATTTCGTCAGCTTGAAGGCGTTTTCGAGGTTTTTGTAGGTTATTAGGGCCTCTGAAGCAGAATAAAGAGTCTAGTATGGCTAAAAACCTGAAGCTCTCTCAATAACGCTGCCAATCTGATAGACCGATTCTCCACTTTTGACTAGACGGCGCTGGACTTCATCAGCTTTCTTTTTAGAAACGACCAGTGTCATCCCGATTCCACAATTAAATGTGCTGAAAATTAAATGCATTTTGATAGCTCAAGTTGTATTCTAATTATTATCCTACTATATATAAAAAAATAGTGTCTGTGTGTGTGCATTTGCATGCAACTTCCGTGAGGTTGTCTCTCACTTACAGCCTCAGGGGAAGGTTTTTAGGGTACGTATGATACGCCATTAGGTGCGTAATGGTGCCGAGATGAGTGCACACATATCAAAGTTTTGAAAAATTACTGTTTTCGCAATTAAAATTGGGTTTTTGTAAAGATATCGGAAAATCTCTTTGTTAGGAGCCAATTTGCATGCACCGGAAGTGGGGAAAGCTTACATAAGGGGGTAGAGGGGTACTTTTCATTTTTTGCAATCAAGGTTCGGGAAGAAATATGTGCGCGTTAGCCGCGGAGCGGTTTTTCAACCCTGGTAATTCAATAAATTAGACGGTTTTAGGTCTATTCAAACGTTCTCCGTTAATGCATTCGTACCGTAGTAACTCCTTCGCCTCCACCGGACCCATCGACCCAAGCCAATCGAATATCTCTTGCTTTTCCCAAGCCGACGCGTCAATTTCAAGCGCTACGTTTCCGTCTTTATCGAGAACCCTTGTAGCGTTTTCTAAAACATTTTTTATATCATTTTTACAAACCAATTTCATACCTGTAATCCCTCCTCCAGTAATGTGAGCGGCAGCTTTAATCAAGCCTTCTTTCATCAGTGGAAGTACGGATCGGACGTAGATTCGTGTGGGTTTTAGCAGTAATCCGCCTATTTAATTTTTAATGTCAAATTTATAGGTGGTAAATTACCAAAAGTATCTTTTCCCCAGGGTACCACATTATCGTAGCGGATTTTGTTGACCTTAAGGATTTTTCGCACCAATGAAAAGCCATTAGAGTGCAGTCCGTTTGATTTTAGGCCCAAGACGACATCACCGGGTTCGATTCTAAAATGCGAGTATTTTAAAGAAAGCCAGAGGCTATAAAATTCAATTTTTCCAAAAAATTATACTTTGAAGTCTCCGGCAAATACGGCCAATCCGAATCTCTGACGGCAATCGCACATCCGGCCAAATCCCATTGTTTTGGGAGGTAGACGCCGGGCATTTCAGCAGTTTCCCCGCCTTAATATGGCTTTTTAGGTGGTTTTTAATAAAAATATTATTTAATAACTATATTTTAAAGCGCTCAATGATGTGAAAATACAGGTTTTATACCATTTAATTAACTGTTGGCCTGAAACTTACCAACAAGCGAGCAATCCGCCTCGATGCACGCTTCCGCAATACTTTTCACAACCTAAAATAGCTTTAAATTTCGTTTTCTATTTTTTTTTACATCCGAAGCCCGTTTGCGGTCGAGCTTCCCGCACACAAAGTAGTCCAGGAAAGCGATTGGGGCGGCGCAGTGGCACAGCACGTCATTCACGCACATTCCTAAAATTCGTTATAATGTCCAAGCTCTTGGGGCGGATATTGCGGTCGTGTCTCAATATGCCGACAACCGATTATGCTGTCAGAATTGTCATTATGTGGAGGTTGTCGACACAATGGCGACTGGGTATCGGTATAATGACAGCAAGATCACCCACCAACAACGTCGTATCCCACACCGGAATAATCCCCAACCGCATCGGCAATTTCGATTTTTGTGCCGACTCCATCGATACCGACGACAATCTGAAAGATCAGCAATTTTAGCATTATTTGCATTTTTAATAGCTTTCTTTATTGTTTTTAGAACCATTATCTCAATTTTTTTGCTTAAATTATTTTGTTTTACTATTTAAAGTTGCCGAATTCCAAAATCCGCGACATTCAAAATATACACAGTGAGACCTTTTCGATGGAATGAGTCACGCTCCTTTTTTCAACAGGCAGAAAGTGTAACAAATCCCTATCTTTACGAAAATCTGAAAGATACCCCCAGTCTGAATAGGTTGGACGTCTGCATAGACTGTTTTACCGCTTTTCTTAACCAGGATTTTCGCTACTTGTTATTAAACCTTTCAGTTAGTTACTTTTATGGACGTCGAAATCCATCAGCTGTAAATTTAGAATGTCCGGTTTCATCTTTGCTGGTCGAAAATAGCTTTCTTCGCAATTTCCACATCTGGCAGTCTTATCGGGCTTATCGCTTGTATAAAAACCAGCCGATTACAGCCGCGTCGCGGCTGTAATCGGCTGGCCTTCGGGCTACCTTCCATATTCTACACCACCACATTCCTTCTCTAACTTTATCAATATCCGTGCTGATCGCTTTAGATATCCCCCATAGCCGAAACCCCCTTAAAAATACCTTCCGGAAGGCTTTAAATACCTCCCCTAGCCGAATTCCCCTTAAAAAACTACTTCGATACCTTCCTGAGGGCTTCAGATACCCCCATAGCCGAAAAGTCCTTCAAAAATTCCTTAGACACGTTCCTGATGGCTTCAGATACCCCCCATGGCTGAAATCCCCTTTAAAAACTACCAAAATACCTTCCTGATGGCTTTAGATACCCCCATGGCTGAAATCCCCTTCAAAAACTACCAAAATACCTTCCTGATGGCTTCAGATACCCCCCATGGCTGAAATCCCCTTCAAAAACTACCAAAATACCTTCCTGATGGCTTCAGATACCCCCCATGGCTGAAATCCCCTTCAAAAACTACCTAAATACCTTCCTGATGGCTTCAGATACCCCCATGGCTGAAATCCCCTTCAAAAACTACCAAAATACCTTCTGATGGCTTCAGATACCCCCATGGCTGAAATCCTTCAAAAACTACCAAAATACCTTCCTGATGGCTTCAGATACCCCCATGGCTGAAATCCCTTCAAAACTACCTAAATACCTTCCTGATGGCTTCAGATACCCCCATGGCTGAAATCCCCTTCAAAAACTACCAAAATACCTTCCTGATGGCTTCAGATACCCCCCATGGCTGAAATCCCCTTCAAAAACTACCAAAATACCTTCCTGATGGCTTCAGATACCCCCATGGCTGAAATCCTTTCAAAAACTACCAAAATACCTTCCTGATGGCTTCAGATACCCCCCATGGCTGAAATCCCCTTCAAAAACTACTTAGCTTCCATACCGATACTTTAAATGATTTAAATAACGAATTAAAATAATTAAAAAGTATTAAAAAGTATTAAAGTAACTCAAAAAAGGCATCTGGGCGCGGGAAGGGCCTTGGGGAAGAGGAGCGAAGAGAAAGGGGGCGTGGCCTCCCGGGGAGAGGGCCCCCACTCGTTTTATTAAGGAACCACTTTCAAAGTTAATTATTTTTATTTAAACGAAAACTTTTTCATAATGTTTTGATCATTTAAGGGGTTTCTGACCATGCTCTATCCGAATCCGAAGAGAGCTAAGCTCTAGCTCCTTTCCCCTTCGAGTTATAGTTGGCTTCAGACAGACTGACTGACTGACGGACACCACAGCAAAATTATTATTATAAAAATGGCGACACCAAAGTTTCGAAAGTATCACGATTACGAATCTCGTAAAAGTGTATAAAAATGTCGAAACTCTTTCAATTACGACAGGCCTAAAAGTGATGAAAATGTCGAAACTAACGTTGCGAAACTCTCTTGCTTACTAAAGCCGCCAAAACGTCTCTAAAATGTCAATATTCTACTTTCGAAACGCCAAATTTCGGAATTACGAATCCCCCAGTGAGTTCGGATTATTATTTCCAGACACCCGTGAAATATAATCCCTCTCAATACCCTCTCGCTCCCACTAATATGCCCTTTCTGCATAATACCGACACGCAGACGGGCGCCGGTCGAAAATCGATAAAGCCGGCGGGAAGCCCGCCCCTCCCCCGCCCGCCCTGTTTGCCCGCAATGCCGACGTTTCGACAACAATTTTCGTCAGCCCCCCTTTCGCGATGTTTTGGCCCCCGATTTCGCCATTCTTGCCGCTTTCTTTCGCCAGAATTTATTCTTATTTTCTTACTTTACAATTTTATTATCGTTTCTTTTTCCAAAATATTAAAATATTATTTTCAGGCCCGAAAAATGATGCACGAAGAAGAGGAAGTGGAAGCGGAAAGGATGGAATTTATTCTGAGTCAAAAGCCGACGAGAAAGGTGAGGTGTTTTTACACATTTTTTGGTTTAAAATGAAGGTTTTCTAGCAGTTTTTGTTTCTAAAACTTTGGATACAATAAAAAAAGTTCGGAAACGAAAATATAACCTAGCCATGTTCTAGTTTTACTTTTATATACACTTGTATTTGCTATTAGAACTTTTATAACTGCTTTATTGCCTACTTTCTGCAAGCTAACTACAAATTTAGACTTTTTAGCCTTCAAAAATGAAAATTTCTGCTGTTTTTAACGATTGTTTTGTAGCCATGGACTCAAAATTTCGTAAATACTTTAATTTTTGCGCCTATAGTTTCAAAAATAGTTACATTTTCCTTTTTAGCCCGGCTCGAAGTACGGACGGGTGGCCCTCTTGCACGGGCACAGGTTTAACCTGAACCGCGCGAGGGACGGCGAGAACCAGAGGTTGTACTGGAAATGCGCGAAGAAGGGATGCCCCTGCCGCGTTACTTCCGATGCGGGTGGCTGGGTTCTAGGCATATCTAACAGCCATCAGCACGAGCAGGAGGTACTTTTTCCGGAAATAACAAGCCTGCGTTTCGCTACGCTATTCTTTCATATAAAATACCTTTCTTTAAGCTTACGCCATTGCCCGATTCGACGACTTTTCTCGATCTTCCTGGATTGCTGTTTGGGTCTGATGATCAGGTTGGTATAATTAAAGCGGATTTTGAAACGTTTTTTTTTAGATACCCCCAATCTACGATGCGGACAACAGTTTATTCACACACAATGGCGCCGCGGTCAAAGAGGAGCCCGATGCGAGCGAATTGGCGGTGGGGAATTTTATATATTAGTTAAAGTTAATGAGGGTTATACTTTAGTGATTTGATTGTCAATAATCAGCCCAATGAGCTTAAGATCTTCGATATTTTCGCTATTTTTCGGTATTCTTTAACGCCAGAGCATCAAAAAATCTACGAACGGTATTACAGCTCAAAAGAACGAATATAGAAAAGTTATGTCTATTTAACTTTTGTCAAAAAGTATCCATATATCCCTTTTAGTTCCCCCTCCGTCAACCGAAACCGGAACCGGAAGACGTTTCAACGACCGAGCTTGTTTTTCCGGTCCCTGACCCCGTAATCCCGCAGCTGGACCTCGAGAAGCGGATTTTTATTGGTAACTTTGCAAAATTGTTTTCAATTTTTTTTCAGGTGATAATGAGATCAGCAACTCGCTCGGCGAAATTATTACCGCCCTGAAGCTGCGCTTCCCGCCCGGTGACCCCGACGTTTGGATGTTTGTCAGCCATTTGGTCGAGGATCCCGCGAACCAATGAGCGGAATTTTCGATTTACTTCTGTCTTTGATGCTAATATGGGTGAACATTTAATACGGGTTAATAAAGAATTTTGGACATGATTTTGTCAAAAGAGCAAAAGTTTCAGTTTGAAATCAAGGTAATCCTCTTCACCAACCTGAGACGCATCGCTGAATCCAGCTTTCCGGAAATCCACGACCGCACCAAAACCTCCGATCTGTTTTTTGATTAGAAAACCGTGTTTTGAATACCTGACTGGTCCCACTTTTTAGGGTTTGCTTCACAAATCCCTTAATATCTTCGATAAATTGATTTCCCCTCGGTGATATCGACGCCAGAATCACCATAGGTGAGGGAATAATGAGGATTTCTAAATTCAAAATAATACTTTTGCTTTCGAAACGTTAGATACCCAATCGTTCGGTTGATCCCAATATCTTGGCGGTAGTATTTGCCCTCGAATTCGATAGTATCCGCCGCTTTCAAAGCCCGTTTTCGAGCTTCATCCAGCGTTTGCGCCAGTGCCGTAACGCAGAGGATTCTGCCACCGTTTGTTACCACTAAAATGTCGCTTTCCACACAAACTCTCTAGCCCGCCTTCTTTTGCGTCGTTAGAAAGTTTGAATTCGCACTTACACTGCCCATTAACAATCGTTGTACCAGCATGAAAAGTGACGACGTCATTAGTATCAAGTGGAATAACTTAAGAGAAGTATATTAAAACAGCGTAAACTTTACCTTTTATAGCCGTTCCCTTATCTCCTTTGTACGGATAATCTTTGGATGCCAAAATGACCCCACAAGCCTGCTCGTTCTTCCATTTAATTTGGATCTGATCGAGGGTCCGCGTCACGCAGTGATGCAAAATTCGATAGAGGTCTGTGTCCAGGAGACGCATTAGGATCTAGGAAGCAAAATTATTCAAGTTTGGTCCGGAGCTTACCTCGGTCTCCGGATCTCCAAAGCGGCAGTTATATTCGAGAACATAGGGGCCTTTGGAGGTGATCATAAAACCAGCGTAAATAACGCCTTATGATAATTTAACTAAACGCCATAAAGTCAATCGAACCGGTATAGAAAATCCTCTGCTCTTGCAGACCCTTGATCGTTTGGTGGAGTATAGCGGAAATTTGCTCATCAATTGCTTTGGGTACCGTAACCGGTCCGACGACGCCCATTCCTAAAACATTAGGATTTGAGTGCAGAGAGAGAGAGAGAGAGAGAGAGAGCGAGAGATTGAGAGAGAGCGGGAGAGTGAGAGAGAGCGAGACCTACCTCCCGTGTTTGGCCCTGCGTCCTTTTCCAACAAGCGCTTATGATCTCGAATTAATGGCATTCGGGAAAACGTGGATCCATCCGTGAAGCAAAGTGCCTAAAACGCACCCTACCGTTTCATAAATAAGACTTACCGAAACTTCATATCCATCCAATCGTTCCTCCAAAATAATTTTAGAACCACCTTCCCCGAATTCTCCCTAGGATTCGATTTTTTTGTAAATTTCGCTCTTATCTCAAATTCAAATTCTTACCTGAAGAATATTTCTGGCCGCTTCACGAGCTTCTTCTTTGTTCGTGCACACCACAACACCCTTCCCGGCTGCCAGCCCATCCGCTTTCACTACGATACCGTCCCATGAACACCCAAAAAACAGATATTCTTGCAGAATTCTCCGGCTTACCTTTCAATATAATTCAGCGCATCCGCTAGCAAAGTAAATTCCGCGAATTCAGCAGTAGGGATCCCATTCTGTCGCATGAAGGTTTTAGCAAAGGCTTTCGAGGTCTAAAGCAAAGTGTGGCTGGCAGCCAGTCATTACTTCGAAAATCATTACTTCGAAAATCATTACTTCGAAAGTCATTACTTCGAAAAGTCATTACTTCGAAAAGTCATTTCTTCGAAAAGTCATTACTTCGAAAAGTCATTACTTCGAAAAGTCATTTCTTCGAAAAGTCATTACTTCGAAAAGTCATTACTTCGAAAAGTCATTACTTCGAAACGTCATTACTTCGAAAAACATGCATAGCACGTACGCTAATTGACACCATTCTGCCTCTACCGGTCCGTTTATGGATCGAGTTTTTTATACGTCGCATGAAAAAAATCGGCAAATTTTTACTTTACCCCCAGATTTTTCGATGTTTTAGTTGGTTAGTACGAACATTTTCTGATGTCACTTCAGAGAGCATCAAAACATATACGGACATTTTTAGGTAAACATCGTGATGCTTCAGTGATTGAATGCAAGGTTCATTATAACAAATAAATAATTCGTAGAGATGGGGTAACTAACAATCCTAATACAGACCGAAACTCTACACAGTAATAGCCTTAATAGAATAGGCATATGGTACCTACGCAATGGTTTTATCGTCAGTGTCATGAATTTCGTGATATGAACATTCCAAATTAGCATATTTTCGAAGTAATTCCGTTTCGAAGTAATGACGTTTCGAAGTAATGACTTTTCGAAGAAATGACTTTTCGAAGAAATGACTTTCGAAGTAATGACTTTCGAAGTAATGATTTTCGAAGTAATGACGTTCACCCATTAACCTTGGGAAATGGGTAAATATGAGCTCGAGGAGTCAGACTGAACGCGCGAAGACTTTGAACGTTCTTGATTCCTACAGCCGACGGATTGGGCGACCGAAAATTGGCGCAGGCTGTAGCCGAAGAATGAGAAATAAAAGATTATGGCTGTTCGGAAGGTAAATTGGTATATCCTATGGCAATATTTGGTGAAATCTTTGAAAACGGCCAAGGATGACTAAGCGAACTCTCAGAAACTGGCTTCTGGAAAAAACAAAAATGCTTAGGTTGTTTTCCTATCGGTAAGTTTCGAAAATATTGATATGGTGATAAATACTGATTTATGTACTACTACCTTGCTGCCAATCAAAAAGCTTTAAAGGGGTCGGCAAGACCGCGACGTCAGGCGTTTGAATGCGTTAAGTGACCTCAATTGAGTGATCACTGCGTGTCGCCGGAAAGCCTAAATCCGTGAACAATAGATTTCCTTGCTATTATTTTTTTCGTGGATTTAAGGTACAAAGATTTCATTGGCTAATGTCATCATGACTATAACTAAAACACTCAGAATTACGGTAGCAAGAAAACTTGCCAACTTTTCTGGAAACTGCGCAAGGCAACAGAGAAAGCGGATGAGAATCTCGGTCCTATCCGCTGAATCTCTAAAAATCTTTTGCCCCTCTTCCGGCAGCTGGGCCCGGCCAACGTGTGCCGTCCACGTGTCTGGTGTTGAACTTTTCGACTAGAGAACAATGCGAAAATGGGGGCCCCAGAGAAAAAAGTTTCGCGGCCGTGCCCGGGCAATACTTGGGGAACCCCCCAGCTGATACAATGCTACGTGGCGGCTGCAAAAAAACGATGGCTTGAAAGAGTGAGGCGGCTGCGGCTGGTTTTGAAGGGGTTGAAAAGTATGGAATGCACCTTTTACGCTTACGAATCATTACGCGTTAGGCACGTCAAAAATACTGCTTAAAACCATTTGCTGATCCTAATTCTATAAAATCCGTACTCCACTTTAGCCGCGGATCGACACAAAAAAATGAAGCCCTGAGTTGCGATGAGTGGCCTGGCAGGGAGGGAAAACAGAAAAATTTGACGGGGCAGTGGAGAGGACGAGTCGAGTACATAAGTACGAACCGGTGGATCAAAATCGTGAAAGTTCGTTATTTTCCTGAAAATGAAGCCGATCTTTGTACGCTTACAAGGAGACGTTTTTGAGTGTCGTCGGGACTTTGGCATGGGACCAAGCCTATCTTGGGGGTAAAGTCACTATCCCGAAAAGTCGCTACCCCGAAAGTCACTACCCCGAAAGTCACTACCCCGAAAGTCACTGCCCGAAAGTCACTACCCCGAAAGTCACTGCCCGAAAGTCACTACCCCGAAAGTCGCTGCCGAAAGTCACTACCCCGAAAGTCACTACCCCGAAAGTCACTACCCCGAAAAGTCACTACCGCGAAAAGTCACTACCCCGAAAAGTCACTACCCCGAAATAATTTGCATGATTTTCATAGGAAAACCGCATGAAAACTGGATTTTTCCGGGAAAAACAATGCTATCATTTTTCGGGGTAGTGACTTTCGGGGTAGTGACTTTCCGGGGTAGTGACTTCGGGGTAAATGACTTTCGGGGTATTGACTTTCGGGGTAGTGACTTTCGGGTAGTAACTTCGGGGTAGTGACTTTTCGGGGTATTGACTTTTCGGGGTAGTGACTTTCGGGGTAGTAACTTTCGGGGTAGTGACTTTTCGGGGTAGTGACCGGACGCCCCTATCTTGTGCAGAATTTTACGCTGATTCCGAATATGGTAACCGTTTTTGCGGAATAGCCATTTCGCGAAAGTTATGAACGATTTAAACCTCAAAACAGCCCAAAATCGGCAACTTCCGATAGCCATAAAAGGCTTCGGAATAGGTTTTAGACAAAACCAGATAGTACATCTTGTTCAGAAAAAAATTCTGTATAAAATGTAGCATCTTCTCCAAAATCATTGAAAAGTTAAAAAAATAAAAATTTTATAAAAATTTTCAGATTTCCAACATTTTTGAGTTAAGTAGCTTATTTTATAGAAAAATTTTTTTCTGAACAAGATGTACTATCTGGTTTTGTCTAAAACCTATTCCGACGTCTTTTATGACTATCGGAAGCAGCCGATTTTGGGCTGTTTTGAGGTTTAAATCGTTCATAACTTTCGCGAAATGGCTATTCCGCAAAAACGGTTACCATATTCGGAATCAGCGTAAAATTCTGCACAAGATAGGCTGGGCCCCATGCCAAAGTCCCGACGACACTAAAAAACGTCTCCTTGTTAGAACAGCCTCGAAGCCGCCTCCCAATCAGTAGATTTTTAACCTACGTCCTTTTTTCTCAGCAAGAAAAATATCGCAAAACATCAGGTAACAACCCTGATTTTCACGGGTCAATGCCATATTCAATTCAGCCCAAAAACTTCCTGCCAGAACGGCGCTCCGGCTACTTGCACCTGCCAATTGAATTCCAGCCTGAAAAAAAGTTCATAGTCTGCGCCAATAAAGTAATAAGGTTTATTGGCGTGAAAGGAGCAAGCTGGCAATCACACGCCATCGAAACAAATATCCACTGGAGAAAAATTTAGGCCCTTTCCAACATTTGCTCGGCGACCAGCTCCATCGCATCGGGGAACAGGGAGTGCTCTTTTTCCTAAAAAATATGATAATTGATTAGGTATCGATGGATTTACACATTAGCGATATGGTCTTTGATCGCTTGCCCGTAGAAGCTTGAACTTTTTGAGCTCCTGAATCTTATCTTATGCCTATCGGCCAACAAAGCGAAAACCACGGGGGAGGGCTTGAAATCCGGCAAAAACGAAGCATGTCTTTTTGCCGCCAAGCAGACCAAACAGAGCGTGGAAATGGTGAACAAGTTTTTTTACATAAAACAAAACCATCCTATTATGTTTATATTGTTAAGATGCTCACCGCAAAAAATACAATAATTGAAATATTACCTTGATCCTCTCATGCAAAGTTTCTTCCGTATCACCCGCTTTCACAGTAACGACCGATTGTGCAATGATCGCGCCGGCATCGATTTCCTCCTGAAATTATGGACTTTCTATTTAAGTAATAAAAATGAAGTGCGACTATAGAATCTAAGACAAAAATTTTTAATTATGGGAATTCTTACCACCACAAGGTGCGCCGTGCACCCAGCTACCTTCACACCGGCCGCAATCGTATCCCGAACGGCGTGACCACCTACAATGCAAAAATTGACAACTTGCTGTAGTTGCTCAACCTCGAAAAGCAGGCAGCAGCGATGGGTGGATGTTAATCATCTTGTTTTCCCATTCCTTCACAAATTGGCCGGACAAAATTCGCATATAGCCGGCCAGGCAGATCAGCTCGACGCCGTGGAGTTTGAGGACCTGAAACAACGCAATTTGATATGCCGAAATTTGCAAGATTCGTAAAAATCTATAGATAATGATTCGTACCATAAGTTAACCAGACCCGGGTTGGATCTTCTTAAAGGGATGCCGAGGGCATAGACAATCGGTTACGCGCTGGAAAAAAAAAATGTCTCTACGCCTCTCCCCTGTTGGCTACTTGCCAATTTGTTGATGGGGGGGGATCGACACATGCCGTCGGCAGCCCTTTAAATGCGATACTTACCTCCGACATTTTCATATCCCCTTCTTCTCGAATTGTCGTATGCGGAACAACGGCCGTGGAGACCTGCATTTTCTGAGCAATTTCCAGCCCTCCAGCGTCTGGGTTGTTGGAGATGACAAGGACCACCTGAATGACCAATAATTTGCGGAATATATTTAATCTACCAACCTCACAGTTACTGCCCGGCCGCTGCGCCCTCTCGATCAACCTCTGCATATTCGAACCGGCCCCAGAAATCAGGATGCCGACGCGGATTTTACGGGTCTCGCGGACGTATTTCGTCAGCTTGAAGGCGTTTTCGAGGTTTTTGTAGGTTATGAGGGCCTCTGAAGCACAATAAAGAGTCTCGTATGGCTAAAAACCTGAAGCTCTCTCAATAGCGCTGCCAATCTGATAGGCCGATTCTCCACTTTTGACTATTCGGCGCTGGACTTCATCAGCTTTCTCTTTAGAAACGACCAGTGTCATCCCGATTCCACAATTAAATGTGCTGCAAATTAAATGCATCTTGATAGCTAAAGTCGTATTCTAATTATTATAATTCAATAAATTAGACGGTTTCAGGTCTATTGAAACGTTCTCCGTTAATGCATTCGTACCGTAATAATTCCTTCGCCTCCACCGGACCCATCGACCCAAGCCAATCGAATATCTCTTGCTTTTCCCAAGCCGACGCGTCAATTTCAAGCGCTACGTTTCCGTCTTTATCCAGAACCCTTGTAGCGTTTTCTAAAACATTTTTATATCATCTTTACAAACCAATTTCATACCTGTAATCCCTCCTCCAGTAATGTGAGCGGCAGCTTTAATCAAGCCCTCTTTCATCAGTGGAAGTACGGATCGGACGTAGATTCGTGTGGGTTTTAGCAGTAATCCGCCTATTTAATTTTTAATGTCAAATTTATAGGTGGTAAATTACCAAAAGTATCTTTTCCCCAGGGTACCACATTATCGTAGCGGATTTTGTTGACCTTAAGGATTTTTCGCACCAATGAAAAGCCATTAGAGTGCAGTCCGTTTGATTTTAGGCCCAAGATGACATCACCGGGTTCGATTCTAAAATGCGAGCATTTTAAAGAAAGCCAGAGGCTATAAAATTCAATATTTCCAAAAAATTATACTTTGAAGTCTCCGGCAAATACGGCCAATCCGAATCTCTAACGGCAATCGCACATCCGGCCAAATCCCATTGTTTTGGGAGGTAGACGCCCGGCATTTCAGCTGTTTCCCCGCCTAAGTATGGCTTTTTAGGTGGTTTTTATAAAAATATAATAATTTTCTTGACGCGTCCGTCCGTCTGTCCGTCTGTGTGAAGCCGAATTCAACTCGAAGGGGAAAGGAGCTAGAGCTTAGCTCTCTTCGGATTCGGATAGAGCGTGGTCAGAAACCCCCAAACTGATAAAAAAATTATTAAAAAGTTTTAGTTTAAATTATTAAATTTAACTTTGAAAGTTTTTTCCTTAGTAAAGGGGTGGGGGACAGAGGTTGGGGCGATTTTGGACATAGTGAGCCAGGTCGCGCGCGTTTCGTGGATGAAAATTTTCACGGGGGATTTCATTTCTTTTTTCTCTCATTCCATCCGGTCGGTCGTTATTTTTGTTTTTTAAGGGGATTTCGGCTAGGGGAGGTATCTTAAACCATTGGGAAGGTATTTAGGTAGTTTTTGAAGGGGATTTCAGCCATGGGGGGTATCTGAAGCCATCAGGAAGGTATTTTGGTAGTTTTTGAAGGGGATTTCAGCCATGGGGGTTATCTGAAGCCATCGGGAAGGTATTTAGGTAGTTTTTGAAGGGGGATTCCGGCTAGGAAAGGTATCTAAAGCCATCAGGGAGGTATCGAAGTTGTTTTTTTAAGTGGATTGCATGAAGGGTAGCCCGAAGGCCAGATGGTTACAGTCGCGAAACGACTGGAACCATCTGGTAAAAATACTATTTAATAACTATATTTTAGGGGCTCAATGATGTGAAAATAAAGATTTTTGACCCTTTAATTAACTGTTAACCTGGAACTTACCAACAAGCGAGCAATCCGCCTCGATACACGCTTCCGCAATACTTTTCACAACCTAAAATAGCTTTAAATTTCGTTTTCTATTTTTTTTTACATCCGAAGCCCGTTTGCGGTCGAGCTTCCCGCACACAAAGTAGTCCAGGAAAGCGATTGGGGCGGCGCAGTGGCACAGCACGTCATTCACGCACATTCCTAAAATTCGTTATAATGTCCAAGCTCTTGGGGCGGATATTGCGGTCGTGTCTCAATATGCCGACAACCGATTATGCTGTCAGAATTGTCATTATGTGGAGGTTGTCGACACAATGGCGACTGGGTATCGGTATAATGACAGCAAGATCACCCACCAACAACGTCGTATCCCACACCAGAATAATCCCCAACCGCATCGGCAATTTCGATTTTCGTGCCGACTCCATCGATACCGACGACAATCTGAAAGATCAGCAATTTTAGCATTATTTGCATTTTTAATAGCTTTCTTTATTGTTTTTAGAACCATTATCTCAATTTTTTTGCTTAAATTATTTTGTTTTACTATTTAAAGTTGCCGAATTCCAAAATCCGCGACATTCAAAATATACACAGTGAGACGTTTTCGATGGAATGAGTCACGCTCCTTTTTTCAACAGGCAGAAAGTGTAACAAATCCCTATCTTTACGAAAATCTGAAAGATACCCCCAGTCTGAATAGGTTGGACGTCTGCATAGACTGTTTTACCGCTTTTCTTAACCAGGATTTTCGCTACTTGTTATTAGGGTTGTTACGGTCCGGACCGAAAAAGTCGGTCCGGTCCAAATTTTTTTTGGACCGACTGGACCGACTTTTTTTTGGACCGTTGGACCGCCTGGACCGCCTGGACCGAATTTTTTTGGACCGTTGGACCGTCTGGACCGACTGGACCGACTTTTTTTTGGACCGTTGGACCGTCTGGACCGTTTGGACCGACTTTTTTTGGACCGTCGGACCGTCTGGACCGACTGGACCGAAATTTTTTGGACCGTTGGACCGTCTGGACCGATTGGACCGACTTTTTTCTGGAACGTCGGACTGAATGGCAGGATTTTTTTTCTAACGAGTCCGGCTTCAGAGAGGGCTGAGAAAACCAGACCTTCTTTGCTGTTAGCGCAGCCGACTTCCCCCACCCGAACCCCCACCCCCCGCGGCTAAATTTCACTTTACGGTATGTTCTCAAAATGCCATTTTTTTCGTCTGGAATCGATGGATCCCGACGGGTTCGTGCGTTTTCAGTTGAAAAAACATTTGGGAAACGCTTCTGGACAAAGTTATTAACCTTAACCTTTAACCAAGACAGGCTAATTTAACATCAGGGTGGGTCTCCTCAGCTGGATCCCTGATGTTTTCTAGTTCAAAAGGTTAAATTCTTAGGTGTAAAGTATGGTATTTTCAGTTTAATTTGAAATTTGTGTTTTTGAATGAGTTTTAGTTGCATTTGTTTCACTTTCTCTGAAATTTTATTTGATTTAGAAGATGGCTCTATTAGCACGATCGGCCGTGTAAAGGCGGTGTCGATAGGGTGGGTGTGTAGGCTAACGTAAGCGAACGGATGGGATGTTTGGTAAGACCAACTAATCGAAAGAGTAAAGAATTGAAGAAAAGGCGAAATTATAATAAACTGGTACTATTAAAGTATCAGAAGGAAAGAAAATATTTATGGAAGTGTTATAGTTTTTAGTTTTAATTTGTGCATCAAGTTTTTTTCCACTGGTATCTTATTTTAGGCTGAGCCCTGGGTGCTTTTTCATAGCTTTATTGCATAGATTTAGTAAAATTTTACTGGGGTAGCCGTTTTTCAGTAAGTGGGTAATTAGATTTTGTAAATGTTTTATATGGATAGCTTGAGTCGGTCCAGCCGGTCCGACGGTCCAAAAAAAAGTCGGTCCAAACGGTCCAAACGGTCCAACGGTCCAAAAAAAAGTCGGTCCAAACGGTCCAGACGGTCCAACGGTCCAAAAAAAAGTCGGTCCAGTCGGTCCAAACGGTCCAACGGTCCAAAAAAAAGTCGGTCCAGGCGGTCCAGACGGTCCAACGGTCCAAAAAAAATTCCGTTGGACCGGCCTGGACCGACTTTTTCGGTCCGGACCGTAACAACCCTACTTGTTATTAAACCTTTCAGTTAGTTACTTTTATGGACGTCGAAATCCATCAGCTGTAAATTTAGAATGTCCGGTTTCATCTTTGCTGGTCGAAAATAGCTTTCTTCGCAATTTCCACATCTGGCAGTCTTATCGGGCTTATCGCTTGTATAAAAATGGCGACACCAAAGTTTCGAAAGTATCACGATTACGAATCTCGTAAAAGTGTATAAAAATGTCGAAACTACGCTTTCGAAACTCTTTCAATTACGACAGGCCTAAAAGTGATGAAAATGTCGAAACTAACGTTGCGAAACTCTCTTGCTTACTAAAGCCGCCAAAACGTCTCTAAAATGTCAATATTCTACTTTCGAAACGCCAAATTTCGGAATTACGAATCCCCCAGTGAGTTCGGATTATTATTTCCAGACACCCGTGAAATATAATCCCTCTCAATACCCCCTCGCTCCGATTTGCTATCATCCCATCGAATTACATCTGATCGAATTGCATCCCATCGAATTACATCCCATCGAAATTACATCCCATCGAAATTACGACTCATCGAATTACGACTCATCGAAATTACGACTCATCGAAATTACGACTCATCGAATTACGACTCATCGAATTACGACTCATCGAAATTACGACTCATAGAAATGTCAGCTAGGCGAATTTTCAAAAAATACTAATTTTTGCCCGGTCCAATTTTAGTCATTCTTGGCCGAAAAAAATCCGTTTCTGGACCTAAAATTAAATTTTTAATAAAAACCAGGGTTGAAAAGCCGCTTCGCGACTTTTCAACCCTGGCCCCGTCTAGGACCCCATACGATTTTGCCCTTTGCATAATTGTCCTCCATTCAGAAGACAACAAAAATGAAAGACAGCCCTTTCTGCCTCTTTATATAGGCGACCGCCCACTTCCGGTCTATGCTAATTATTCCTAACAAAGAGGTTTTACAAAAACCTAAATTTAATAGCGAAAATGGCTAATTTTTAAAAATCTGATATGTGTGCAGTGAACCCTAGACCATTACGCACCTAATGACGTATCATACGTAGCCTAATACCCGTCCCTTCTTGAGATATCCTCCGGACAGACAGACGGAAGTGGATGCAAAGTGGCACACACACACACACAAACACACAAACACTATTTTTTTATATATAGTAGGATGTGTATGGTTTTTATGCTTAGAAATAGTTAAAAACCATTTAAAAACGCATCCGCTATTCATAAAAAAATTTAGGCTTGGACCGAAAAAAATTTGGTTGACAAAAACCGATATTTCGAGGAGTTGTGATTTCGATGAGTCGTAATTTCGATGAGTCGTAATTTCGATGAGCCGTAATTCGATGAGTCGTAATTCGATGAGTCGTAATTTCGATGAGTCGTAATTTCGATGGGATGTAATTCGATGGGATGCAATTCGATGGGATGCAATTCGGGCAGATGTGATTCGATGGGTTAAAAAAATGCCCCTCGCTCCCACTAATATGCCCTTTCTGCATAATACCGACACGCATACGGGCGCCGGTCGAAAATCGATAAAGCCGGCGGGAAGCCCGCCCCTCGCCCGCCCGCCCTGTTTGCCCGCAATGCCGACGTTTCGACAACAATTTTCGTCAGCACCCCTTTTCGCGATGTTTTGGCCCCCGATTTCGCCATTCTTGCCGCTTTCTTTCGCCAGAATTTATTCTTATTTTCTTACTTTACAATTTTATTATCGTTTCTTTTTCCAAAATATTAAAATATTATTTTCAGGCCCGAAAAATGATGCACGAAGAAGAGGAAGTGGAAGCGGAAAGGATGGAATTTATTCTGAGTCAAAAGCCGACGAGGAAGGTGAGGTGTTTTTACACATTTTTTGGTTTAAAATGAAGGTTTTCTAGCAGTTTTTGTTTTTAAAACTTTGGATACAATAAAAAAAGTTCGGAAACGAAAATATAACCTAGCCATGTTCTAGTTTTACTTTTATATACACTTGTATTTGCTATTAGAACTTTTATAACTGCTTTATTGCCTACTTTCTGCAAGCTAACTACAAATTTAGACTTTTTAGCCTTCAAAAATGAAAATTTCTGCTGTTTTTAACGATTGTTTTGTAGCCATGGACTCAAAATTTCGTAAATACTTTTAATTTTTGCGCCTATAGTTTCAAAAATAGTTACATTTTCCTTTTTTTAGCCCGGCTCGAAGTACGGACGGGTGGCCCTCTTGCACGGGCACAGGTTTAACCTGAACCGCGCGAGGGACGGCGAGAACCAGAGGTTGTACTGGAAATGCGCGAAGAAGGGATGCCCCTGCCGCGTTACTTCCGATGCGGGTGGCTGGGTTCTAGGCATATCTAACAGCCATCAGCACGAGCAGGAGGTACTTTTTCCGGAAATAACAAGCCTGTGTTTCGCTACGCTATTCTTTCATATAAAATACCTTTCTTTAAGCTTACGCCATTGCCCGATTCGACGACTTTTCTCGATCTTCCTGGATTGCTGTTTGGGTCTGATGATCAGGTTGGTATAATTAAAGCGGATTTTGAAACGTTTTTTTTAGATACCCCCAATCTACGATGCGGACAACAGTTTATTCACACACAATGGCGCCGCGGTCAAAGAGGAGCCCGATGCGAGCGAATTGGCGGTGGGGAATTTTATATATTAGTTAAAGTTAATGAGGGTTATACTTTAGTGATTTGATTGTCAATAATCAGCCCAAGCAGCTTAAGATTTTCGATATTTTCGCTATTTTTTGGTATTTTTTAACGCGCGAGCATCAAAAAATTCTACGAACTGTTTGAATTACAGCTCAAAAGGATGAATATAGAAGAGTTATATATTTAACTTTTGTAAAAAAGTATCCATGTATCCCTTTTAGTTCCCCCTCCGTCAACCGAAACCGGAACCGGAAGACGTTTCAACGACCGAGCTTGTTTTTCCGGTCCCTGACCCCGTAACCCCGCAGCTGGACCTCGAGAAGCGGATTTTTATTGGTAACTTTGCAAAATTGTTTTCAATTTTTTTTTCAGGTGATAATGAGATCAGCAACTCGCTCGGCGAAATTATCGCCGCCCTGAAGCTGCGCTTCCCGCCCGGTGACCCCGACGTTTGGATGTTTGTCAGCCATTTGGTCGAGGATCCCGCGAACCAATGAGCGGAATTTTCGATTGCTTTTTTGCACATGAAATTAGTTCGTTACTTCTGTCTTTGATGCTAATATGGGTGAACATTTAATACGGGTTAATAAAGAATTTTGGACATGATTTTGTCAAAATAGCAAAAGTTTCGGTTTGAAATCAAGGTAATCCTCTTCACCAACCTGAGACGCATCGCTGAATCCAGCTTTTCGGAAATCCACGACCGCACCAAAACCTCCGATCTGTTTTTTGATTAGAAAATCGTGTTTTGAATACCTGACTGGTCCCACTTTTTAGGGTTTTCTTCACAAATCCCTTAATATCTTCGATAAATTGATTTCCCTCGGTGATATCGACGCCAGAATCACCATAGGTGAGGGAATAATGAGGATTTCTAAATTCAAAATCTTACTTTTTACTTTCGAAACGTTAGATACCCAATCGTTCGGTTGATCCCAATATCTTGGCGGTAGTATTTGCCCTCGAATTCGATAGTATCCGCCGCTTTCAAAGCCAGTTTTCGAGCTTCATCCAGCGTTTGCGCCAGTGCCGTAACGCAGAGGATTCTGCCACCGTTTGTTACCACTAAAATGTCGCTGTCCACACAAACTCTCTAGCCCCGCCTTCTATTGCGTCGTTAGAAAGTTTGAATTCGCACTTACACTGCCCATTAACAATCGTTGTACCAGCATGAAAAGTGACGACGTCATTAGTATCAAGTGGAATAACTTAAGAGAAGTATATTAAAACGGCGTAAACCTTTACCTTTATAGCCGTTCCCTTATCTCCTTTGTACGGATAATTTTTGGATGCCAAAATGACCCCACAAGCCTGCTCGTTCTTCCATTTAATTTGGATCTGATCGAGGGTCCGTGTCACGCAATGATGCAAAATTTGATAAAGGTCTGAAGTCCAGGAGACGCATTAGGATCTGAGGAAGCAAAATTATTCAAGTTTGGTCCGGAGCTTACCTCGGTCTCCGGATCTCCAAAGCGGCAGTTATATTCGAGAACATAGGGACCTTTGGAGGTGATCATAAAACCAGCGTAAATGATGCCTTAAGATAATTTAGCTAAACGCCATAAAGTCAATCGAACCGGTATAGAAAATCCTCTGCTCTTGCAGACCCTTGATCGTTTGGTGGAGTATAGCGGAAATTTGCTCATCAATTGCTTTGGGTACCGTAACCAGTCCGACGACGCCCATTCCTGAAACATTAGGATTTGAGTGCAGAGAGAGAGAGAGAGAGAGAGAGAGAGAGAGTGAGGAGAGAGAGCGAGACCTACCCGTGTTTGGTCCTGCGTCCTTTTCCAACAAGCGCTTATGATCTCGAATTAATGGCATTCGGGAAAACGTGGATCCATCCGTGAAGCAAAGTGCCTAAAACGCACCCTACCGTTTCATAAATAAGACTTACCGAAACTTCATATCCATCCAATCGTTCCTCCAAAATAATTTTAGAACCACCTTCCCCGAATTCTCCTTAGGGATTCGATTTTTTGTAAATTTCTGCTCTTATCTCAAATTCAAATTCTTACCTGAAGAATATTTCTGGCTCGCTTCACGAGCTTCTTCTTTGTTCGTCACACCACAACACCCTTCCCCGGCTGCCAGCCCATCCGCTTTCACTACGATACCGTCCCATGAACACCCAAAAAACAGATATTCTTGCAGAATTCTCCGGCTTACCTTTCAATATAATTCAGCGCATCCGCTAGCAAAGTAAATTCCGCGAATTCAGCAGTAGGGATCCCATTCTGTTGCATGAAGGTTTTAGCAAAGCCTTTCGAGGTCTAAAGCAAAGTGTGGCTGGTTATTTTGCTATCGAAGTTCCTTTAAAGTACGCCATGACGATAACTGTCGGATCCTACCGACCCTTCGGGAAAGGGAGTCCCAAAATCTAGGGCATGGGCGGGCCCTCAGGCTTGCATAGCTCCCTCGGGGCCGATCCGAAAGGCCCACGGGGAAGTTTCGAAAGTCCCTCAGGGGAATCTGAAATTCCTCGCCGGGAATATCGGAAATCGGGGGCGACACGGGCGGAGGCCCAGCGTCCCTATATAAGTATGATGCTGCAGGATACAGATAATACCAAACCTCTTGTTAGAAGATGCCTGCGCATCCGCGAAGGGCTGAGTCAGCGATTACCGATCATCGCCCGAGACGGCCTCACGTCTCTCCTGCTTGCAGGAACAGTACTACGCCAAATAACGCTCAACAACCGATCAACATAAAAGACAGGGCCGCATTTAAGCGTCAATGATCTGCGTGCAATGGTCGTCTGTTTCCAGCCGTATTTCAGCTTCGTTGTTTCAGTTCTCTCTCACAGCCAGCCTTCGCCGATCTAGTTATCCCGAACTTGCTTCAAACCAGATAAGGCAGTGGCGTGGTAAAGCCTGAGCACAGCAGATCAGCGCGTGCCTGGCTAGCCTTTTTCGAACGGTGTCCCCTTTTTCTAAAATTGACCTGTCGTAACCAGGCAACCTTTGCCGATCACACATCCTCTGGTCCGTGACGCCGTCGGACCGGCAATACTTCAGATCGCCGGATCCCCGCGCTACTCACACGCCCAGGCCCGTTCTGTCAGAGATCCTCGGCTTTCATCCAGAACGAATGGCTTGCTGCCGAAACTCAGTTTTAGAAAGTTAGCAAGAAGATACTCGCAGTAGCGTGAATCGGTGCCGACACAAATCGTAGTGAGACCCTTTTTGATGAGGAATGGTCTGATCTTCGGCAGCAGTGGCAGTCAGTCCAGGAGACATACGCCGCAGATCGAGCCACCGCAGCGATGAGGCGCGGCAGCTGGTCAATAGATGCATAAACATCACCAGCAGCAGACCAGTAACGTTGGGGCCGGAGAATTCCAGAACCGCCGAGATAGCCGTCATACTTCCACGCAGCTGTGGTGGTACTGTTGCCACACAGCACGAAGCGCAACACAGCTATGACAATACCAGGATACGGACCAGTTGTCGCGGTGAAATGGTCAGTCTATGGCATCCTCCCATGGAAACAAAGTCGACTGCCGTGTATTATTGGAGACAATGTCAGTTCAAATACATTAGAGTACCTAGTTATTTAACTAGTTATGGGACAAAGTCAGTGTGGACATTTTGTAAGCCATATCTGGGTGCCATGAGACAGCTCGACTCACGGGAATGACGAGAAATCTGAAAGCATGAAATTT